ATCTCCTTCACCAAGGTATTCTACATCCTTGACCGAATGCCCTGGCCGTTGCACTGAATGAGAGCGTACGTTTGGACTGACAGTTTGATCAACCAATCATATATTGATTTGTAGCCAATGGGCGTGTTCTTTCAGAGTATCCCTCGGTTCCAGGGTATTCTAGAAGGCCCGCTAGTTCACTGGCTCGAGACAGAGGATCTAGATGAATGCGACGAAGCAATTCATGCCGTTTTATTGTTTTTAACGTTGAAATGGAAAGTGCAACAGGTGAAGATGAAGTTGTTGCGGAATTGTTGTGAGTACCCTTTTCAAGACGACAATTCAGTGTAAAGACGGACATTATAATGCCGCGGAGGGGGGGGGGGGGGGGGGGGGGGGGGGTGTGTGTGTCTACAGAAGGTCCAGTTGAGATAGCCACGGTTCGCCACTGGTGTGTGTGTGTGTGTGTGTGTGTGTGTGTGTGTGTGTGTGTGTGTGTGTGTGTGTGTGTGTGTTGTTCAAATGTTGTTTAGCTGCTGTAGCTGAATTAAAAACCACACAAACGTCAGCTATATTGATAAAACATTCCCATTTATTCATGTGTTGTCTTTGTTAACTTGTTGCCTTGGCTTTATTGTGACCCTATGGTTTCTTTACAATTGTATTACACATGTCTGGCTCCCCTGTGTATATAATAGGGCTGTCAATTGATTATAATTTTAAATAATTGCATGGTTTTTCGTTGTTAACTCACGATTAATCATACTTTTATTTTGAAGTTTATGATTATTGAAACAAAGTCTAAAACAAATACTTTGCAGAATTCGTGTGTTTCTGTGATTTGTACGAAACACGTAGTTTCCTTATTTTCTGTATAACTCACTACTCATAGTCAGATCCCTTTAACATACGAAGGTCATCTGTCCTTTTAGCAGAAAGTGAGTAATTATGTTGATTGTTTGACTCTTTATTAAATAACTTTAATATCTGTTCATTTCCTTTAGAAGTTGATTCTATTGTGGGATTTCCAACTCAGTTTCATGGTTTGTTAGTTCCATAAACGGCTCTACGGAAACACAAAACCCTTTATAACCTTGGTCGATGCTTTTGGCGTTCGGGACATAATACAGAGTGCTGAGTAATCACTACAGTATGATAATAGCAATTCAAGATAAAGACACAAGAAGCATTACTCTCCATGTGCCAGGGGCGGATCTACGGTGGGGCAAGGGGGGGCAGCTGCCCCCCCTTGCCCCCCTTGTAGAGCCTAGCCCCCCCAGCTGCCCCCCTAACTTTTGTTTCCCTAAAACTGTACTAAAACAAACCTACACTATTTCCACAAGCTTCTCAAGCAACGAAACAAGCATTACATTAGTTAAAAGTGAATCATTTTAAATATCATTTTAGGCCCGTTAAAAAGGCAGCTACGGCCCTGCATTAAACTGCGGAGCGGCGTTCGCACAGACCGCGGCTCACACAGCTGCAGAGAGGGAGCGAGCTGTCCCAGCACCTAGGGTGGATCAGCTTCCCCTGGGAGGATTTCCCCTTCCACTAGTTTTGTTTTTACTAAGGACGAGAGCTTGAAACTAAATATTAATAAAACGCAGCCGTTTGAATCGATATAGCGTTTAACAGACGGGCGCTGTTTGGGGCGTTACGTTACAAAATACTACGCAGACAGCGCTAGCTGGGAGATCGATCACTTTGCTAAACTATGCGGTACTATTACATCCACGTAAACTACACATCACAGCCATGAGGCCAGATCAATGAAACCAGGATACATCCTTTACCGTAAAAACTGGATCTAAACACAGCTGCCTGTGAGCGTTTGATAAATACTTTCTGATGTTATATTTATGATATGCTACTTATCAGCTACATGGCCCTAACGTGTAAAGTTATACAAGCATTTGTACCAGTGCTTTTCACAAGTAGACTCTTGCAGGCCAGAGTAGCTGGAGTGATTCAACAACAACAAAAAGACATATCTGAGAAGTGATCAGGACGAACAGAAAGAGGAAAAGAGAGATGAAGAGACCAGGAGGGTCAGAGCAGGAGGAAGAGGAGGAGATGAAGAGACCAGGAGGGTCAGAGCAGGAGGAAGAGGAGGAGATGAAGAGACCAGGAGGGTCAGAGCAGGAGGAAGAGGAGGAGATGAAGAGACCAGGAGGGTCAGAGCAGGAGGAAGAGGAGGAGATGAAGACATTAGTGAAGAAGAAGACATGTAGGCTGTGAGGATTGGAATAAAGATGAAGTGTCAGAAAGAGGGACAGAGGCAGGGATCAGGAGGCAGAGGAGACTCCAGCTGGACCACATGGTATGTTCTGATTCTCCTTATATATTCCATTACAGCAGCTCAATCTAGCAGCTCTTAGTATTGACACATATTGATTGAAATGCGTTGATGCACGGGTCACCTTTAACTCTCTGAAGAGATGGGTGATGTCATTTATGTACTTAATTATAACTAAGTACTTACAGTATGCAGAATTCTGAGTATTCTCTGAATCGGGTGCCTTTTGGGTCTTTACATCTTTGGAAAATGAAACCAAAATGTTTGGTTATAACATCTGGTAGTGGACTACTTACATGTTCCCACCTCAGGCACAAAATATAAATAATTACTAGGAATTTCCTTGAAAAAACGTAACAGGGTTGAAGTTTTTGACAAACAGTAGGCATGAGACCTTGTTTAGATAAGATATGGCACCACATGGAAATCAAGGACATTACAACATTGTAATATTTTGCAAAACTATTGTTTATTTTGTAATAAACAATTATTAATTCATATAACAGAGTTGAAATGTTGAGCATGTCAATCTTAATCTGAAAATACAAAAACTGAAATAAGAGAAGAAACTGACACTTGCCTTTCTTTGCCATCTTTTCTTCAGAAGACTTTTGTGATGTAATTCCCTCAATGCAGATGCAGATCACACATGGACTGATCCACACATGGACTGATCCATTATTTTAATAGGAGGGTAAATGATATGGCTTGACGGGGTTGAAACAAACTGAGGGTCAATATTGCAATTTCATAGATAATTCAAGTATTTTTTCAGAATTGATTTTTGATCAGTTAAAGTTGACAAACATGTGATTATATTAGCAGCAACATGTTGGGATAATTGGCCATTTTGATTTGTTTAATATTAAATTAATATGTAATAATGCTTAGTGAGGACATGCAAATATGTCTGTCTACTACTAAGACAACCAATCTTTTAAAAACAAAAAATATATATATACATTTAGTTTTACATTGTAATGCAAAACAACCTGTTCCATTAATTCATTGCTTTAAAATACATCTTGTCGTTTCCTTTCATTTAAAATTGTTGAGGTAAGCTTGGGGGACTCAAAGGGCACCCGATTGTTTGTCTGAACACCTTGTGTTCTCTTGTGCATTAAGAACACTTGTGTTAGGGCATGAATTAACAATAAATAGGTTATATACAGTGTAGTGGCTATTTATCAACAACAATAAAACTTCAAAAGGCCACTGAGGCACCAGGTATAGTGGATCTTACGCAGATCATGAGTTGGTAATGAGTCCATTGTCCGGACAAGGCATCAACGTTTTTCTGGTATTTATTAGCTTCACCTTGGCAAGAACAATACAGCAAAAGGTGTTGAAATGTTTGCTGAACTCAGCCCTGATACTGGCGATATCGAGCGATAGAATTATTAACAAAGCACTTATATACTAATAAAGGACTGGCTTATCTAAAGCCAGTTGAGTAGCACTTGAAATGTTTGGCTCTATGAAACCTGATGCACTTATATGATTCTGTTTTCTTCAAGGCTGTGTCTTCCTGGTCGAATGTACTTATTGTAAGTCGCTTTGGATAAAAGCGTCAGCTAAATGCAATGTAATGTAATGTAAAAAACCATAGACCTTCCCGGTGCCCACTGACTGCTGCTGTGCCCTGATTGACTTCAATAAACCCAGCTGTGTGCCCACATTTACCCATCACCTTCAAAATAAAAGCATTTTAGCTGGAACACAACTTAACTTAAATAATATGGCTGTAAATTAATTACTTCTACAAACAAAAAATAACAAATAAATACATTAAATAAATGTGAAAAATACTGAATAGCTTCCACATACAGTATAAAATACCACGTACTGTCCGCCCTCCCATACCACCCTGGCATGACCTCTTGCCCCCCCTTTGCCACCCCATGTAAAATGTTCTAGAACCACCACTGCCATGTGCTATTTGTGTGGGTGAGGAGCCAGTCTGTTGAATAATGAGAGGCTTTTGAAAGGGTCAGCAGCAATCTGAAACCAAAGACCAATTCTCCGTTCCTCTGCTCAAGTGCTTTCTGTGAGGCGGCCGACACTTCAGAGGTGTTGTTGAAGCCATCTTGAGATTTTTTAGAAATAAATGTGGGGACGACGTTAAATGAAGGAGTGGGATCTTTCAAGCATATCTCATTCCAATAAGCCGAAGAAGTGCGTTTAGATTTCAGAGCGGTTCCACTCGGCTGGAGAGAAACATTTTCTGAATTTAAACGCTAACCAATTCTTCAGCGAGGCCCTCCGCTCACATGAAGCGTTAAATTCAACTCAAAGCAGCAGCAAAAGAGATTTACATTTCCCGTATACAGGCTTTGGGTGGATTGCAGATTTGCATTAAGGGGATTTTTCGGATTTTTCTTCCACTCTCATATAAGATACTTTGCAAAGTTTAATCGAGGCTTCTGTTGATGCCCCTGGGTTTTGTATCTTAAGCAGTTTCCCACGGGCAGGGAAACAGAACGAAACTTCATCATAACACGTCTGAATATATATTTCACAAACTAGGACTTCTTAAACTTACCCCTTCAAATATTGGAATTACGTTTTTTTTTGTGGGTGGCCTTCCTGGTGAAAGACTGTGAAGGAATTCCTCATTAAAAACTTTTTCTCGCAGCAATTCTCTGATCAATTTCATCTGTGAGTCTACTGTACATATCAAATTATTTATAAAAAGACTTCCAGTTCCAGTTTGTGTGGTCCTTACCCGCATGCCGAGCTCGATGTTCTCGCCTCCGTAGACCTCCATGCCCGGATCCAAAAGTCCGATCTCCCCAAAATATTCCCGATCGACCACGAAGGAGCAGCCAATCATAGCTGGAGTTCTGCATGAGAAGAAAGAGAAAGCGAGGTTTAAAGGAGACGTCATGCTTTGCCGGTTATTACCCGTCCCCTTGTTGTTATGAAGGTTTGTATGCATGTAAACGGTCTGCAGAGTCACAAGTACACCCTGTAGCGAGTAAAACTCTAACACAGAAAAGACCTCCCCAAAACGCCTCGTTGGAGATTTCTCATGTTCTTGTGACGTCTGAACACCCAGTAGCCACGCCCAGTCCCAGAGCTATGGCCAGGCTGATTGGTCCAAATTAACCAATCCACAGACTTCCACACACACACACACACACACACACACACACACAGCTCTGCTGATTTCTCCTCCATGGCTGCAGGCTGATAACAGACAGTTGGGATCGCGGCGAAATTCTCTCCGCAGACCCATTCTCTCTGCAGACCCATTCTCACAGCGTTTATCAACCTTTTTCTTACTCAATATCAAGCCACACTTATTGTTTTTACTTCGGCTGTGACTTTGTGTGTGCTCAGGGCGAGTTTGGATGTGTATCGCTTAACAAGGAAACCACACCTCCATGGAGCTCAGCGCGATTCACAACGTCCCGACCAATCAGAGCACACTGTGCTCACAGGGAGGGTGGAGCTACTGGAGCTACTGGAGCTACTGGAGCTACAACGAGCCGTTAAAGGCAGAGAGTGAAATGCAGTGAATACACGTAGTTTACAGAGATGCTGTTTGAGGAACCAATGTGAGTTTGGAAAATTGCACAATATAAATCTATTCTAGTATACTCAACAATGGAACTATGATCAGTGGAAATGGCCATGTCTCCTTTAAATGACCATCCAGCCGCTGAACTTGGACACACCCAGTACGCTTAAATATTCAATGTAATGATCATTTGGACTGCCAACAGGAATAATAATACCTTTTTTAAATGTTTTATTTTCCCAATTCATCCTGATTTGCTTTTAGTTTCTGCTTCACTTCAGACTGTAACGACACTGTGACATAAGCTTTATGTCTATTTCTGACGGCAAACATAAACTTTATACTGTACATTTATATTTAATTTATTATGCCATTCTTGCACACTAAATGTAAATAATATCCTACTTTTATATCTTGTTATCTGGCCCTTCTATTGTATTTTATTTGCCAGATAGTTCACAGATTTTTATATTTAGACTTTTTTAAGTTCTGTTTTATCTTCTATTTTGAGATGTTATTTTTTGAGTCTTTTATTATTTCTAATTATGTGCAATACTTTGTCTTACATGCTACATGCAACAAACCACTTTGTAATCTTATCTTTTAGTAGGGTGGCCCTAGCTCCATCTCTGTGTTTTTATATATCCTCAAAACTGCTGCTTGCCGTTGAATATTATAATAATAAAAGGTGGTGAAAGACTAAAGTAAAAACAAAAGCTAAAAGAGGATAAAACCCTCTGCATCACTGAGGACAATATTAATTAACATATTAATCTGTAACATTGCTAACATATAATATTAATCAGTGCAGCTTTAATATTTAAAGAAAGGAAATAAAACATGTCAGGAGTCCTGCTCCTCATCTCAGAGCACCAACGCAGCGTGGCATTTTAAGAGATAAGGAACCACAATGGGGATGAGCCTCGGGCTTTCTGGTGTCAACCTGACTTTCCTTTAATGTAAGCACTCGCTGCTGATTATTTAGAAATGAATGTGTCTAATAAATCAAACTGTAATTGTCAGACATCATAATGTTCTAGAAACACGTCACCTTGTGCTTCGGCTGCTCTAGGGCGCTTCCACATTGCCATATTACGTGTTGACACAATCTGCTATTAACCTGCCAGATTAACTGTTTTTAAGCTTTTAAATGTACTGATATTAAGTAAAAACATTAATTCAGGCAAGAAGCTAACCATTTTGATGATTATACATATGTGATTAGTTCATCCAAACAAGGCCTATTTGAGAATTTAAGTAGATGTCTGGAGCTGATGGCTGTATGAAAGTCAACCATGTTTTTATAATTACTCTCACGCCCCGTAAAACTCCCAAAAAGTTTTGTGAAGCCGCCATTTTATTATCCTCGCATTAGCATTATTAGCATTAGCATTAGCCCAGCGCAGAAACGTAGAGAGACTAACTTATGGCAACAAAAAATAAAACATGGGAGCGGTGGAGATGAGGAGGTGTCGGCGTTCTGGCGATTTACTCCCCAACTCCGGGGACTTCCGGCCGGGGACTTTGGGCGGCAGTATACGCCGTGAAGTGGTTTGCGGCCTGCCAGTAAACCCAAAGCAGAAGAAGAAGAAGTGACGTCAGCGGCTTCATTTGCCTAATCCTCCCTCAGGGAACTTATTCCGGTGTGAACGCGATCTGTACTTAGTTCATGAGAACTAAAGAGTTCTCATGAACCTTTGTGGGAACAGTACTGCGGTGTGAATGCGCCTATAGCTAACGATTGCTATCTTTGCAGTGATTGCATGTCAGCCACAGCTTGTTACAAAAAACATGACTGATAGTGTGTTTAACAAACTTAAACTAGCTTTATTAAATGTCAGGTCTTTAGCAGGAAAAACATTTTTAATCAATGATTTTATCACTGAGCACAATCTCGATTTTATGTTTTTAACAGAAACTTGGATTGAACAAAATAACAGTGCAGCTGTTCTTATCGAATCAACCCCTCCCAACTTCAGTTTTATGAGTCAGGAAAGAATGCATAAGAGAGGAGGTGGAGTTGCTATTCTGTTCAATGATTCCCTTCAATGCAGGAAGACATCTTATGGAAACTTTGATTCTTTTGAATATGTGGCCCTCCGGCTGAAATGCTCCTCTCGAGCTCTGTTCCTAAATATCTATAGACCACCCAAATACTGTGCAAGCTTTTTTGATGACTTTACTGAACTGCTGTCTATAGTGTGTATTGACTTTGACCGTCTAGTCATTGTTGGTGATTTTAACATCCATGTTGACAACCCCCAGGACAGAGGGGCTAAAGAACTGTTTTGTGTTCTTGATAGCTATGGACTGACTCAGCATGTGACGGAGCCCACGCACAATAAGGGGCACACTCTGGACTTAATTATCTCAAAGGGTCTGAATATCTCTAAGGTTGTGGTGACTGATGTTGCACTCTCTGACCATTCCTGTGTTTTCTTTGAGAGCTCTATTTCTGTTCACAAAAATGTTCAAAAAGAGGTAACCACAAAGCGATATTTAACTGAAAACACTAGGGAAATGTTTACTCAGAATTTCTCTTCCACACTTGCCCCTGCCAACATCTCAGTAAATGAGCTAGTAGATCATTTTAATTCAAAAATTAAAAATGTTATAGATGCCATTGCTCCAACTAAGGTAAAGGAAGTGTCTGGCAAGAAAATATCTCCATGGAGAAAGGCCATGAGCGTGAAAACAGAAAAAAGAGAATGTCGAAAAGCTGAACGCAGGTGGCGAAAAACAAATCTCCAGGTTCACTTTGAAATCTATAAAGAGAGACTTGGCCTCTATAATTTGGAATTGAAAAACGCACGACAATCGTTCTTCTCTGACATCATTACCAAAAACAAAAACAACGCACGTGCCTTGTTTGCTACCGTCGACAGACTAACTAACCCCCAGTGTCAGTAGCCTCTGAATTTCTATCCACCAGGGCGTGCAATGATTTTGCCTCCTTTTTCACTGACAAAATTCAGAAAATCAGACAAGCAGTCAGTGCCTCTGCATCAGGAACAGTAAATGTGTTGTCCCTATCTCCACTTAACATCAATTCAGACATCATGACACAATTCCATCAGATTAATGATAAAAACCTAGAGGACATTATTCAACTTCTGAAATCCTCCTCCTGCTGCCTTGATATTATTCCAACAGGATTTTTCAAAGATGTTTTGCCTTGCATGGCCTCAGATCTACTTCATATAGTAAACAAATCTCTTCACTCAGGTATTTTTCCACAGGCCCTGAAAACTGCAGTCATTAAACCGCTCTTAAAAAAGAATAATCTAGATGCTTCAGTAATGAACAATTACAGGCCCATATCAAACCTCCCATTTCTAGGTAAAATCATTGAAAAAGTTGTTTTTCAACAGTTGAGTAATTTCTTGCATTTAAATGACTGTTTTGATGTGTTCCAGTCAGGCTTTCGTCCAAACCACAGCACTGAGACTGCTCTTGTAAAGGTCTTTAATGACATCCACTTAAACACAGACAGTGGCAGAACTTCAGTGTTAGTATTATTAGATCTCAGTGCTGCGTTTGACACTGTTGACCACAGCATATTACTAGACCGACTGGAGAACTGGGTGGGACTTTCGGAAACAGTTCTGAATTGGTTTGAATCCTACTTAAAGGACAGAAACAACTTTGTTTCTATAGGTAAATACACATCTGAGTTGACAAATATGACATGTGGGGTTCCTCAAGGCTCCATCTTGGGGCCTCTTCTCTTTAACATCTACATGCTACCACTGGCTCAGATAATGAAGACAACAAAATAAGTTACCATAGCTATGCAGATGACACACAAATTTACGTAACAATTTCACCAGGAGACTATGCTCCAATTCAAACACTGAGTAAGTGCATTGAACAAATCAATGACTGGATGTGTCAGAACTTTCTCCAATTAAACAAAGATAAAACTGAGGTAATGGTTTTTGGAGCCAAGGCAGAACGTATACAAGTTAGCGCTGAGCTTCAGTGTGCAATGTTCAAAACAACAGATAAAGCCAGAAATCTAGGTGTAGTCATGGACTCTGACCTGAGTTTCAACAGTCACATTAAAACTGTTACTAAATCAGCCTACTATCACCTAAAGAATATATCTAGGATTAAAAGACTAATGTCACAGCAGGATTTGGAAAAACTTGTCCATGCTTTATCTTCAGTAGACTGGACTACTGCAATGGTGTCTTCACAGGTCTCACTAAAAAATCTATTAGGAAGCTGCAGCTAATTCAGAACGCCGCTGCTCGAGTCCTCACTAACACTAAGAAAGTGGATCACATCACTCCTGTTCTGAAGTCTTTACACTGGCTT